CCCGCGCGGCGCCCCGCCGCCCTCACCGAAGGAGCCGGTAGCCAGGCCTCCGGGCCGCGCTGGGGCAGGGAGTTGGGATGGGCTGAGCAGGGCGGGGTGGGTGGGTATTTGCAGGCGGCTCCCCTCCGCCCGCTCCGGCGCCCGAGATAAAATGGCCGCCACCGCCTCACGCTCGCTACCCCTCCCCCGCCCGCTCACCGCGCCGAGCCGGGCAAAATGGCGGCCGGAAGCGGCAACGCGCAGGCGCCGGACGAACACCACGTGACGTTCCCCGGCAGGAGCTTCGGAAGCTGCAGTGCGCAGGCGCCGTCGGAGCGCCGCTACACGTGACACTGTCTGGTGGGAGCCTCACTGCACAGGCGCCGCCCGGGCAGAACGTGACGCTATCACTATGGCAAGAATTCCTAGTTTTTTGTACGCACGCTTCCCTACAGCACGTGACATGCCCTCGCGGGAAGCCCCTCTGAGGCACGTGACCGCCTCCCCAGCCACGTGACACTTCCCTACAACACGCGACATACCGGCGAGGAGCCCCTGACACACGTGATCGCCTTCTTTCCTCCTCCTCCACGTGACATCTCCCGGGGGCAGGCAGAGGGAGGTGGGAATGGGCGCGGCTAAACGGAAGTGGGCGGGGCCAGGAAATGGGAGAGGTCTCCGTAGAAATGGGCGGGGCTAAAGGGAAACGGGTGGGGCCAGGAGAACGGGAGAGGTCTCTAGGGGAATGGGCAGGACTAAAGAGAAAAGGGCGGGCCCAGAGGAAGGGGGGGGGTTTAATCCTCTTTGAAAACAGGTGGGGCTAGGGAATGGGTGGGGCTAGAGGGAAACGGGTGGGGCCAGGAGAATGGAAGGGGTGTCTAGGGGAATGGGTGGGCCCAGGGAATGGGCGGGGGGGTGTCTCAGGAAAGGGGCGGGGCCTGGTGCTGGGTTGGGGGCTTGGCTGTGGCTCCCTGGTGTGAGGCCCATCTCCCTGGGGGAGACCCAGGTGCTTGGCCCTGCCCTGCCTGTGGCCCAGGCAGCTGCCCCCAAGCCCCTGCTCCCTGCTAGGGTAATCCCATCCTGTGGGAGGGGGCTGGCCCTGGGGCAGGGAGGGACAGGGAAGGGTCCGGGCCCCAGCGCTCCCCACTCATCTCAGACCTGCCCCTGGCCCACCCCTGCTCCCATCAGCTTTGCTCTGCTGCAGTCTGTTGCTTCAGGATTCATGACCCTCTTTCATCTCTCACCCTTTTTAATGTCTGTTGTTTGCCTGGGAAGGATGCGTGTGTCCAAACAACACCTTTTTTGCAACTCTTTAGTTGCTCTAATAAAAGATGTTGCCGAAGACTTTGCCTCCGTGTGTTGCTGGGCGCTTTGGCCTCCTCCCAGCCTGAGGTGGAGGTTGCTGCGTGGTGCCAAGGACCAGGCCAGCCCAGCAGAGGGCACTCCCGACATGATTGCGGTGCGGGCTCAGCCCCAGCCCCAGCCAGGAGGAGGCTGTTTATTCCCCGCTGGCTCCTTCCCACTGGGATGGGAAATAGGAACGAGTTCTTCCAGCCAGTGCTGGGGTGTGGCACCTGCTCCTGGCCCCAAGACTGCAGTGTCTGCTGGGCACCAGGTGCCCATGCTCCCACCTTTGCAGTATCCCACATCCAAACTGCGGTTTCCCTGTGGATGAGGATGGCCCTGGGCTGACCCCCAGGATAGGTGCAGCCCAGGGAGGTGCCCACTGTGGTGCAGCGTGACCACACATGGCACCTCCAGCCCCTGCTCCCTCCCCGGGGTCTCTGTGCCCCCTCCCTGGCGCACTGGAAGGGACGTGACGCAGTGGCTGGTTGGAGGCTTTAATGCACGGCTCTGCGTAGCGGGGTCTAGGCTGGCTCTGAGCCGGGAAGCTGGGGGCTGAGGGGATGGGGCAGCGAGTGCGGCTTCCACGGGGCTCCGGGGCCTGGCCCTGGGCTCAGGAGTCGTCCCAGAAGAAAGTGTTGCAGGCCACGGTGAGGGCAGCCACCAGTACCACGTACTCCTGGAAATCCACCTCTCCATCCCCGTCGTCATCCAGGTCCTGCATGATCTTGTCCACGGCACTTGCGTCCTTCTGCACCTGCAGCAGGGACACCCCCAGGCCGGGTTAGGGATGCCCACCCACCCCCGTGCCCATGGCGAGGGGACCCCAGGTCTTGTCCCTGACTCCCCCGTCCCCCCTGCTCTGCCCCTCAAGCTCCCAGCTGCCCTGGGAGATACCCCCACCTCCAGGAAGCTGCTGAGCTCGCTCTGCAGCAGGTCCTTCAGCTCCTTCTTGCTCAGCTTGTACTTGTCGCCCTCCTTGCCCGAGTACTTGTGGAAGATGGTGATCAGTGTCATCATGGCACTCTCCAGCTGTGACTCCATCCTGCTGGCCTGGAGAGGTGCCCAAAGGGTTAAGAGGGGCAGACTTTGGGGGGCTCACAGGGGTCCTGTGCTGTGCTCCTCCCTAGTGCTGTGTCTGTGGCTGCGGGTCCCCTCCAGGCCACCAAGCAGCTGCTTCCCCCGCCTGCCTTGGGATAACCAGGGGCCTCATTCTGCCCTGGGGGGCAGCTGGATGCCTGGGACTCAGGTGCTTTGCACTGGGGTGCATGCAGCTGCGACCGTGGGCAGGATCAGGGCCCCTGGGGAGAGCCCCTGGGGCACGGCCCTGCTCCAGCAGCCGGGTCTGAGCTCCCTGCTGCTCTGTCTCATTCCAGGGGCCCTGAGGAAGCCCCCCCTGACCTCTGCACCCCATACCCGTGTTCCCCGCTGCCCATCAGCTGTGGCTGGGCCCTCACCTGGGCTCTCCCTGGGTTGCGCCCTGGCCCTTGGGCTCACCTGGGCTCCCTGCACCTGGGCTGCCTGCACAGCCACCTGCTCCAGCAGCTGCGAATGAGCGACGTGGCTGGTCAGTGACTTTAAGTATGTCAGCCCGAGCCCCCCTTCCCCGCGGGAGGATCTGATACCTGCGGCGAGACGGGCTGGCTGGCACTGCCGGCCGCGATCACCTGATTTAAAGGGACGTAAATGCCCCGGGGGCCCCGTTTGTCCCCATCAGGGCAGGTGAAGCGCACGGTGCTCACTGCCTGTGTGCTTGTGCCCTGTGCACATGCGCATGCACACAGCACCCCTTGTCTCTCACCCCTGGAGATGCCTCTGCACCCCCAGCTCTACTGGATGGGGGTCACCGGCATCTCCATGCATGGAAACCCCCTGGCTCGGCAGCACAGGCCTTGTGGGGTGTGGACCCTGCACCGTGCCGTGGCTAGGGTATGGGGTTATGGCTGGTGCCAGGCCAGGACCCCCCATGCCCATCACTATCCCCTCAATGCCGGGATGGGGGTGCAGACCCCAGGACTGTGTCCCAGCTGGCACCAGACTGAGGGCTGGGCACACTCAGGGCACTCTGAGCCGTGCCAGACCCAGCCGGATGGGCTGTAATGCACCCGGCGAGCTGATAAGGCTCCTGTGATCGGGTGTCTCCTGCCGGACAAAGGGAGGTGGCCAGGGGGCCCCTATCGGGTGACGCATCCGAGCCCCCCCTGGCCGCCAGGCCTGTCGCGGCGCGGCCACAGAAAGGCCCCTTGTCCTGCTGAAGAATTGCTCGGTGAAAGGTTGCTGCGGTAACGCCGGAGCTGGGAAACTGGATTCCCAGGCTGGCCCAGGCTGATAAAGCTAGAGTGGCGCAGCTCTGGTTACAGCAGGGGGGCACAGCGGGGCTGCCAGCCACACCATATTGTGCTGCTGGATCAGCTGGTCCCGCTGGCTCCTGTCGGCCCTGCTCCCCACCCTGCTGTGCCTAGCTGGGGGCACCAGGTGGGACCCCCAGGCCGGGGGCTGGGCGGGGAGTACTGATGGCCCCCGGCTGCAGGGAGCTAGAGGAGGGCCTGGAGCTGGGAGTGGGCTGGGGGGCCCTGGCTGTGCCCCGGTGCCCCCTCCCAGCCCGGATCCTGGTCCCAATCCCAGAGCTTTGCGCAAGAGCCCGGGTGTGGCCCCGCTGTTGTCCCAGATGCCGATTCAGGTGCTCATTGGGGTGCTCGTTCCAATGTCGCGGGTGGCATCCGGCCTCACTTCCGCTGCCTGGCCACTGTGCAATGTACCCTGCTGCACCCCAGAGGCAGCTGCCATTTCTGCTCCTGGGGCTGTGCTGAGCCTCACTGGACCTCAGTGCTGGGTCCCTGAGGGTCCAGCCCCAGCAGAATCGGGTGACGCAAGGCCTCCTGCCTGCCTGCCTGCCTGGGGCCTGTCCTTGTGACTATCACACTAAGGGCAGCTGCCAGGCCCTGGGCCCTGACAATGAGTCACAAGCGCTAATCCTGGCTGCAGAGTCCTGGCCCCTGGGGCACTCCTGGGAGCAGCCGGGTGAGGGGTGGGGCACACTGAGACAGGGCAGGGGGTGCAAGTGGAGGCCTCATGGTGGCCTCAGCACCAGGCAGGATGTGGCCCCGAGTCTGCAGCTTGCCCAACCCCCAGTCCTGGTGTGGTCACAGGCTGGGTGGGGGGGCTGTTTACAACTATTTGCAGCTGGACAGAGAGCCCATTCAGGCCGGGCAGCTCTGGTGTGGGCAGGCTGGCATGTGGCAGGGTGGGGCCTGTGGCCACCCCAAGCACCAGACCAGCTCCCGTCTCGGGGACAAGAGCTGCCTGCCCCCATGCTGGGACCCTGGCCCTTGAATTCCCTCTGGCCCCCCGAGCTCTCACTCCTGGGGCACCATCCTGCCCCCCACAGCTCGGGTGCTGTCTGCCCCCTCCAATTAGCATGTCATTAGCAGACCCTGATACCCAGTTGACCCCTGGCTCCAGGGGTGAGCTAACCCCCGGAGTCTCCGGGGTGGCCCAGAGCAGGATCAAGTCCATCCTGGCTGGCTGCCCCCACCCCAGCTCATTCCCCAACCCCGGGGGCAGCTGGCAAAGCCACAACTTACGGGTGAATGCAGGAGTGCGTGGGGAGCTGTTGCTGGAGCCTGCAGCCGCTGTGCCCCGCTGTCCGGTGTGTGCCTGTGCGAGTCGGGTACGAGCGCCCACCCTCTGGACAGCCCCTGGCAGCCGCCCCAGGCACGGGGAAGGCCAGCCAGGAAGCCAGAGCAGCTGTTTCTTTCCCTTTCCTAAGATGCACCCTCATGCTCCCCACTGCACTCGGGACCCAGCCTGGCACCGAGTGTTTCTGTGGTGTGATGGTGCAGCTTTCCTCCTTGGGGGCCGTGTCCCACACCCCCAGCCTTATCCCTGGCCTTGCACCCTGTAGCCCCAGCATGGGGACTTGTCATGTCCTGCAGGGGCATGAATTGTAACCAGGGACCCAGGTGTCAGGGCACCTGGAGAGCTCCAGCAGGCCCCTGGAAGCAGAGCAGGCTTCAAGGCTGTGGTGTGACCCATGCACGGGGGAAACTGAGGCATGGGGCTGATCAAAGACCTGCCTGAGGGTGCAGATGATCTTAGGGCAGGATTAAAATTTAGCTCACCCTGGTCCTGGTCCTGGCCCTGGCGCGGGGGAGTCTGCTGTGGTGGGGAAAGCCACCAAGGCAGGTTGGCCCTTGGGGCAGAGGGGTCTTTGCCAGGGCTGATTGCTCCTGCCCCTTCTGGGCTGAGAGAGTCTTGTCGGGTGCACAGCGCTGGTGCCCAGGTCCAGGGTCCCTGTGTAGACGCAGCTCTGCAGACAGCACGGGGGCAGGGGGCCAGCTATACCAGCTGTCGTGACCCCAGGGCCGAGCATCACATACCCTCTGGCACTATCAGGTGGGGTGAGAGGCCCTGAGAGGCTAAGTGACATGACCAGTTCTCAGAGGCAGGCAGTAGCAGAGTACATGAGTGTCCCCACCTCCCACCTGTGCTTCAGCCCCTGTCCCAGCTCAGCCAAAACCCCACTAGGCTCCCAGGGGGTCTCTGGGTCCTGCCCTGGAGCACCAGCATGTCCTTGGCCATGCCGTTACCAGGGGAGCTGCTGGGAGCGGCCCCCGACATGCCGAGTCGTTTACACACAGCGGCGTAGAGCAGGTCGCAGCCTCCCGGCCTGGACCTGGAGGAACCAGTCGCTCTGGTTCCTGGGCCTGGGGCGGGCGGGCCTGTCTCTCCAGCGAAGCCTCGGCAGGTGCTGATGCAGCGAGATCCCGGCGTGGGGGGGACAGTGGCTCTGGCCTTGCACAGGGGAACAGGGCTGGGGAATGATGCGGGGGAGATGGGGGTCTGACTCCCTAATGCCAGGGCATGGGACACTGGGGACAGGGCAGGATGGAGCCTGGGAAGCCCTGCCTGCCCCAGAGCCCTGGGTTCTCTCCCCAGCTCGGGGCGGGGAAGTGGGGCCTAGTGGTTAGAGAAGGGCTCTCATGCAGACCCCCAGCAGAAACAGAGATCCTGTGGCCCCTGGGCCCCCAGCTCAGCCATCGGCAGTTGTCGCTGGCATGCTCCTGGGGCTGTGCATGGGTCATTGCACCGCAGGTTCCCATCTGCTGGCACATGGCTCTGCCCCCCAGCACTGAGACTCCATGTCCCCGGTATCCCTTCACTCCTGTGTGTCCCGGGGGTGCAGGGTAGGTGTAGACAGTGCAGCCTGGTGCAGATCCTGGGGCCCAGAAACCCCCCTTGCCCACCGACAAGTACCTGGAGCCGGTGCCTGGCCCCTGGCGCTAGAAAAGCCCGTAGACTGCTGTGGCTGATGCCAGGGACCCACCAGGCCAGGATGCAACCCCTTTCTGTGCTCAGGGGCAGGGCTGGTGCCCCAGAGGACCAGGAGAGGAAGTACCACATCCCGGAGGGAGTCGCACCTGGCACTGGCCCCACCTGGGCCTGGGGGTTCCCTGCGGACTGGGGATCACCTGCGTGGCATCCGGGGAGGAGGAGGGTGCTCTCCTGCCCGGGGCACATTCCTCGCCGTCCTGTGGACCGTGTCACTTCCCCTCCCTGCACCCCATGCACACGGGGGACATGGGACCCAGTGGACAGAGGCTATGACTCACAGGCCAACCCCTGCATGGGGAGCGTGACTCACGGTACAACCTGTCCCAGCCAGCGGGAGCCCGACTCCCTGCCAGCGGCTTCCCCAGCGTCGCCCCTGCTTGCCCGCGTTAGGCCTGTTCTTCTTGTTAGCAAGGGGTGCAACCAGGGTGCAATGAGCTCCTGGGATGGGGGTGTGCACCCTGCATGTGCCTGGGCTACCCCACCCTGCCGGGGGGCTGACTTCATCGGGGCTCAGCTACACCAGCAGTGTCAGTCTGGAAGAGGCTTAATGGGGATATCAATTACTATTATTTTTTAGATGTATATCCCATTGAGGGTTTTTTGCCCTGTGGCCTATTGCAATGCTTCAGTTCCTGCTGGTTGCAGGGCAGGAGGTTTGGAGGAGACCTGGGCACCATGGGAGGACTGGATCCTGGGCAGGATTGGGTCTTCATGGGATGCCCCCTCCCTGAGTGGCCAGGCTGAGGGGAGCAGTCTGTTCCATTGGGCAGGCACGGGGGAGGGACGTGCAGTGAGGGCGGGGAGGGGCCGGGTACTCCATTTTGGGATGAACAAACACTGGAAAATTTCCTGCAGTTGAAGCTGTGTGGTGGTGGTGGTGGGGGGGCTGAGTATGCCCTGGGTCCCTGCACCATACACGTGCATGCATGCACACACATGCTGCATGCACATGCACATACATACATGCACCCAGGCTGGCTTGTCCCCAAGCTGTCCTGCCCATGGCAGGCTCCTCCTGTGTCTCCCGCTCAGCTGCCCCCATCCAAGAGGGGCCTGTGCCAGGCGTCAGGGGGACCCTGCCAACTGTGAACTCCAGTACTGTCCACCCCTGTCCAGTTCTATGAGGCCAGAGCTGGGGTACACAAGGGGTAGCCAAGGCCAAGGTCCCCATGCAGCCTGTGGAGAAAGAGGGGTGCCGGGCAGGACTATGGGGACATATGCATTTGCTATGAGTGTGGCGAGGTGCAAGTAGGGTAGAGGCTACGTGTCTGTTAGTTTTGGCCGCCTCCCCGCTCCTTCTCAGCTCGGACCAGAGTTTCCTGGATCACTTCCACCAGGGCTGGAGCCGGGAACCGCCCAGAGGGAGCTGAACCAAGCTGCACAGACGGCCCTTTGAGCCCCCGTGCCCGCCGTGGCGGTGCCAAACCTGGCAGCCGTGCACCGAGCTGGGGAGGTGGCTGGCGAGGGGGGGCGAAGGGGTAGGCGGTGTCAGGGAAACCCTACACTGCTGTGGTGGGGAGAGCTCTGCCCCTCCCCAGCTGGAGTATAAAGCCCTCGTGGGGGCACACGGCCGCCCTGTCCTCCACCTCCTGCCCCGCAGCACAGCAGGGTAAGTGCTGGCCTGGCCCCTCGCCCCGGGGCCAGGCTTTCTGCTTGCAACTGCAGCACCGGGGCCTGCAGCCATGCAACGGTGCGGAGGGAGGGGCAGGGCTGGGGATCAGGACCTCACCCCAACCCCACCCTGCACCCGCCCAGCTCCGGGTGCCGGAGGCCTCTCCTGCACCTGCCCGTGTGCCCAGGCCGTGCCAGGAGAGGGGTGGGATGCAGGGCGAGGGTGCTTTCTAGGCTGGTTCTGTCCCTTGCCATCACCTGCCCCCATCTCAGCACCTGGGTACCGGCCCGGGGGAGCGTGTTTGCAAGGCGGGGGTGGCTCTGCACCGTCCAGGTGTGAGCAACAGGGTGGATCCAACTGAAACCTGCCAAACTTGCTGCATGGAGCATGTCGGGGGGGGAGGTACCCAGGACCCCGGTGACGGCAGGAGAGAGCCCCGGCAGCTGCCCACCCGTCCCACTGTCTATCCAGCTGGCCGTCTGCCTGTTCACTCATTTCTATCCCTGCGTCTGTCTGTCCCACTATTTATCTCTCCAGCCCTCTGGCTGTCTGTCCATTGATTTCTCCACCCGTCCGTCCATCTGTCTGTCAATCTGAGCCTTGCACTCCTCTCTCTCTGCAGCCTCCCGTGTTCCCTCCAGCTCGGCTCTCGTGCCACCAGCCCTCAGCTTCCCGCCCCGGCACCATGGCCACGGGGGAGCTGACGGAGCTGGAGCTGGCCATTGAGAAGATCGTCTCTATCTTCTTCACCTACGCGGCCCGGGAGGGCCGGACGGGCACGTTGACAGCTGGCGAGTTCAAGGAGTTGGTGCGGCTCCAGCTGCCCAACTTCATGAAGGTGCGGGGGGTGCAATGGGGCATGGGGCATAGGTGCTGGGGAGCTGGCCAGGGGCTGCTGGCCTGAGCTGTGTGTCCCCGGGCCAGGGGGAAGGTGGCTGGGGCAGGGGGTTGTATCCCTCCCCCTCCAGCTTCAGTGCAGGGAACAGCTTTAGAGAAACAACAATAATAATAATAATAATAATAATAGTAATAATAATACAAGCACAGGGAGATCTTATACCATGGCAAGGGGTCCCCTGCTCAGCTGCTCCAGCTATGAGGCATGCTGCCTTCTCAGGAGCAGGGCACAGGGAGGGGCTCTGCCTTGGTTGTGGCTGCCAGAGTGCAGGGAGCTGTGTCCAGAGTTGGAGACGGAGCGTGCTGCTCCTAGATGTGCCCAGGGGTGGGTAGCACCGTGTTGACCCCCTGCCCTCCTGTTTCCCCCAGGATGTTGGATCCCTGGACGAGAAGATGAGCAGCCTGGATGTGAACCGTGATGAGGAGCTAAAGTTCAGCGAGTACTGGCGACTCATTGGGGAGCTAGCCCGGGACATCAAGAGGGAGAAAACGAGCAAGAAGAAGTGACAGGGCAGGCTTGGGGGCCTTGCTCCGGTCTGTCCAGCCATGGGGGCACGAATAAAGGTTCCCCTCTGAGTCTGGCATTGCCTCAGTGGTTGGGGGATGGCAGAAGGGGCACTTGGCTCATGTACAACCCCCTGCACACGCTGTCTCCAGCCCCCCAGCCGGGTCCACACCCAGCAGGATGAAACCAGCACCCAGAGGCCTCCAGCTGGGAGGGTGGGAGCAGGGGAGGGGGGCAGGTGTCTGCCCCATGTCCCACGTCACCCCCAGGACACCAAGGAATGGGGCAGAAGTGCCTTGCCCAAGCTGGGAATAGGACTTTTTTTTTTTTAAAGAAATGTTTATGTTCCAAGCCAAATCAAGTCCAAACCCATGAGTCAGTCCAGAACTATAAGTGGCCGTACAACCGGTAAACATCCTCCACCCTACCAGGGGCTTTAGATATTTCCAATTTTTTTGGCAGGCATCCTATGTGCAGGCCCAAGCCCAGAGGCTTGGTGTTCGGATGCCCCCAAGTTTCGCCTGCCCTCAGCCATATGTCCACAGGAGCAAGCTAGGGAGGAGTCTCCCATTCCCATAAATTGAGCTTTAAGCCCCAACACCTCGGCGGGTACTAAACCACACCAGAAGAACAGTTATCTCCAGGAGGCTTATGGAAAACTGCTTTCTTGGACCCAGATATATGGTGTTTCCCCTGCCAGGACTTCTTTTTTTTAATTTGTATCCGAGGCCAAATTAGGCAGAACTAATTCCAAATCCAAGAGTCCAGAACCATAAGGGGCCCTACTACTGGCAAACATCCTCCACCCACACCTGGGGCTCCAGATGTTTCCAAAACCTTTGCTTGGCATCCCACTTGCATGCCCCAGCCTGGAGGCTTGGGGTTCGGACGCCCCTGAGTTTTGCTTGCTCTCAGCCATAAGGCCCTGGGAGCAAGCTAGGGAAGAGACTCCCAGTTCTATAAACTGGGCTTAAAGCGGCTGCACCTTGGCGGGTACCAAACCACGCCAGAAGAGCAGTTCTTTTGCCAGATGGTTCAGGAAAACTGCCTTTTTTGGACACAGATACATGGTATCTGCTCTGCCAGGTTAAGAAGCCACTATGCTTGATCTGAGCCTTTGTGGTGAGTGCTGGACCTTATGCTCCAACCAGAGGCAGGGCACAACCCAGGTGTCCGGGTGCTCCAGGACCATCCCTGTGCTGTTCAGCACTGCAGGGGGAATGGCTGGACAGCAGGACCCTGCTCAGCCTTGTTGGCCTGCGGTCTCCAGCCACCTACCCCAGGCCTGGGGCCAGCTGGGACGCAGGGCAGGCAGGAGGGAGAGGCTGGGGAGAAAAGCCTGATATCGGAAGCCACAATCCAGCTCCCGCCCTGCTCCTCTACTCGCTCGACAACCCGCCCACTCCTGCTGGGATGTGGCAGGCTGGGGGGGGGTGTCACGACAGCAATTCAAGTGTAACACACCCTCTTAAGGCTGGAAATGAAGTTGCTTTCTCCCACGAAGACCCAGTGAGGCTCTCCACGCGGGGTCTGTCAATGCACAAGGGAGGCTGAGGCCACTGTTTTACACTTCTCATAAAAGCACCAGCAGCATCGCCCAGGGAAGCACTGCTGCCAGGCTGGGCAAAGGGGTCAGCTCTGTCCTTCAGTGCTGTGCAGGGGCAGCTGGGGGTCAGGGGGGACACTACCAAGCCCTGAACTGGGCCTTACATGTGTTGCCCTTCCTGGAGCTGACCCAGCCTAGCCAGCAGGAGCTGGTGCCCACTCAGCCCCTGCTGCTACAGGAGCAAGGCAGGGATGCTCAGCTTTCGTGGCATGGATGCGGGTGCAGGTTGGTGCGGACCGTCTCATGTGTGCGGATGGCTGCGAGGCCTGGGAACGGCCAACCCCCCCGGGAAGTGGGTGGTGCCCGGCCCCACGCTGGACCCATGCCAGGCAATGAAATGAGACACCTTGCACCATATCTGCGTGAGGTGTCTCCCACTCACCCCTCCCTGCGGTATAAAATCCCAGCGGGGGACACGGCCCTCCCCAGCCCAAAAGAGCCTTGGCAGCAGGTAAGTGGCTTGGGCTTTTCTTGGACTTCCCTGACCCTGGCTGGGGGGATCTGACCTACCCTCCGGCCCCCCCCAGCCTGGCCCTGCCCAGCCCAGCCCCTTAGGCTTTGCCCTAACACGTTGCGAGGGAGGGGTGCTGCGCCAAGCGGGACGTGTCTCGGCAGCTCCCGGCCTCCCTCGTGGAGCATCGGCGTTGGCTGGGGGGAGCCGGGAACGCATCGGGGGAGCCGCGTCCTCACTCAGGCCCTGTCTCTCCTGCCCTAGGAACGCCCTGTGGGGGATACACAATCAGCTGCCGGCAGTGCCCCTGACGTCGTGACCCAGCACCCACCACTGGACAACTCCACCTGACGCCCACCACTCCCCGCAGCCCCGTGAAGGCGCAGCCACAGCAGGAGCCAGACCCCGGAGCCAGAGGCAGCCAGCATGGGCCAGTGCTGCTGCAAGAAGCGCAAGGTCAATGGATCCCAGATTTACTTTTGCTCTGTCCTGCTGCGGATGCCCGCTGTGTTTGGGTTGGTGGCCATGGAGAAGGGCGATCTTGTCTGGGCCTGGGGACAGGGGCTGGCGGCTCGGCCGGAGTCCTTCCGTGGGACGCCAGGATAGACCTGAATGTGGTGCCTGCTTGCAAATGGGCTGCCTCATCCAAAGCCTAATGAAACCAGCCCTGGGCTTCCCTGGGCTCTGGATCCAGCCCTTCCTTCAAGCCTGTGCGCTCTCGAGGGCCCCTTAAGCAAGCCAGGTGCAGGAGAGAGCAGTGAGGCCGGCACAGACAGGACTCAAGAGCCACTTGGGAGTCCAGGGAGGCTTTGCCAGCCCTGCCTGGGCTTGTGCTCGCTGCCTAGGGTTCTCCTGAAAGGTCTCGTGGTGACGAGTGCCTTCACCAAGAGAATAAGAGATGGAGCTGGGAGCCTCCTGCTTTCTGTTCCCAAATGAGAGATCCTTTCCCAGGGTCTGGCTGGGAGCAGCATTTCCCGGAGAGGCTGGTGGTGCTGATTTTTTGGGGGCTGCTCCTACCGGAGAGGACCCAGTCGCAGGTAGCCAGTTGCAGGGAGCCAGCCCAGGCCAGCAGCTTTACCCTTCAGCTGGGGGCTCTGCAGATGTGCCGTGGGATGTCGGAGGTCCCTCAGCCTCCAAAAAGGGGCTCAGGCCAGTGGAGAAGCTGGGCACCATGCTCCTTGTGGGACCTGAAACAGATTAGGAGGCTCAGGGCCATTCATAGCCATGCTTCAGGGCTTGAGCCAGTCAGCTCCGGGGGTCAGGAAGGAACGTGAACTCAGCGGGGCGCCCCAGTCCTCATGGACCATAGCAAGGCCCATTGTGCTGCTCCCTGGAGACCCTGGTGTCAGCCCGGGCAGGAGCAGGGAGGGGAGTTGATTCTACCCAGTTTCAGCGTGCGTGGGATGGGGCTGGCAGGTTCCCTTCCCAGGCTGGGAACCGGCTCCCGGTATCCAGCCCTACCCGGTCCCCTCCCTACGCCCCCGGTAACCATCTTCCACTTCCGCCTGTGGCTCTAGGACTGCCAGGAGCTGACGAATGTGGAGCAGGCTATCGAGACTGTGATCAACCAGTTCCACTGCTACGCAGTGAAGGGGCGCAAGGAGTACCTCACCCCCAACGAGCTCAAGGAGCTGGTGGGGCAGAAGCTGCCGCATCTTGGGAATGTAAGGGCAGCGCGTGGCACCGCTCTGGGGCAGGGGGCAGCTCCTCGCCCTGAGATCCAGGGCAGGACCCTGGATTGGGCCCCGGGGGTAGAAGGACAGGACTTGGGTGCAGGGCCCTGGATTAGGGCCGGGGGGGGTGGAGTTCAGGGTGAGGGGACAGGGCCAGGAGGTGGAGTCTAGGGGTCAGGGGACAGGACCCAGGTGCATGGCCCTGAATTGTGGCCGGGACCTCCGTGGAGGCTATGCCAGAGCCACCTGACCGCCCTGTGTCCTCAATAGTGCGTCGGCCCCTTGGAAGAGAAGATCGAGTGCCTGGGCGACCCCAATGAGGCCCGACTGGAATTCGGCGAGTACTGGGACATCATGGGCGATGCCGCCAAGGGCTGCCAGAAGAAGTGAGGCGCTGACGAGCCCAGATCCGTGCTGCGGGGCCCCCCCGTCCCGGCGCGCCAGAGACTGACCATCACTGGGGGCCGCAGCATGGAGGAGGACGCAGTGTTACATCTCCCTGGGACTCCCTTCCTCCCCCGGCTCTGGAACCCGTTCTCCTCCCCCGTCAGCCTAGAACCCGCTCCATCCAGGGCCACTCGAGAACCTGCCTCCCCTTGCTCGCTCTCGACCCCTTCCTGCTTTCAGGAAGGAGGGAGGTGGGGGGGTTCCCCCCACTCCAGGACCCCTCCAGTGCCCTCCCCCAGCCATTTCCTTGTGGGGGGAGGGGTCTCACCTGCTGTGCTCCCTGGCCCCTTGGCTTGAGGGCCTTGGCAGTTCTGGGTTTCCACCCTTGAATCTGCTGTGGTTTGGCTCTTTTCCTCTGGCACCTGTGGGTCGAGGGGCTCTGGGATGGGTCAGTGACCCCTTCTTCCTGGGCAGTGCGGGGTTGTGCTCAGGGCTGGGTAGCGGAGGCTTTGGTGGCAGCGGGAGCATCCCCAGCTGGGGGAAGAGGGTGGGAAGGGCGGGCTCTGGGGTGGGATTCGGGGCCCAGCTGCTGCCCCGGGACCCTGCTCCATGCTGAAAGGGCATCTGCCATTTCCGGGCTGCACTGAGTTGCACTGACCATGCAGGGCTTCCTGTCTTGGGGCCCCCTGTGCATGGGAGCCCCCAACAACTGTGCACTGAGGGTGCCAACCTGGTTTGAATCCCGTGAATGCTTGGAGGTGTTAGTGTTATTGCTACCACTCCCCAGAGCTGTCTCTGGCATGGAGATGGGGGACAGAGGAGCCTTCCCACCCCTCCCCTGCCTCACTGCTGTCTGTCTGGGGTGGGGGCATGGGACTGGGGCTGGGTGGCGGTACATTATCATCCTGAGTTGCTTGCAAAAGTTTTTGTATAAATTAATAAAATTTAAATTGGAATGAGTCCCATGCAAACCCCGGTGTATGTCTGTGCCCCTGGGTGATGGGGGGCTTGGGCGGCGGGTGGGGGGAGAAGGGCATGTGGCCCTGGAGGGAGGGACGCGGCAGCTTGGTACATGCGGGTCTCAAGATGGGATGCCAGCTGGGCCCACCTTTCACTCTGGGTTCATCCGGGGGGGGCATAAATGGGGGATGAAGGGGATAAACCGTCTGCCCCGATGCTGCTGCTCCTCTCCAGATCACCTGGCAGCACGTTCCTGGCTCAGCCCCAAGCCCATTCAATATGGGGTATCAGGGAGGGGTCCTAGCTACAATGTGGGGGCTGCTGAAGCCGTCTGAGGCTGGTGTTTGGGTCCCTGGGCCTGGAGATGCCCATCCGGTTGTTGTCAGGGTCTGTGGCTTGGGTGACCCTGGGGCAAAAACCCTCTGCAGCACGTTCTCAAGCACCAAGTTCGTGACGGGGTGGATCGGGGCAGTGATTTTGGAGGAGGGGAGTGCATGCAGAAGAGCCTGGGGCATTTGCTCTGTCACTTCTCCGTTTGAGGGTGTTTTTTGGAGGGGAGAAACCCCCCCTCCCCAGACCACAACAGGACCTCCATAACCGCCTGGCCAGGGGGGCAGGGACCCGGCCTGCTGTCTGGGGCTGCATTTCACAACGGGCATGACTATTTATTGTTGCTGCCATGGGAATGAACTAGAAGGAAAATAAAGTAGAAAGGTGTGGCATTGGTTTAATTACACAGACCCGGGATGTGTCAAGTGATTCCATGCAAGGACTGGCAGCCCCGACGCTTGGGTTGTCTTCCCATCGTATGATGTAATGGGGAGAGCTGTGTGTGTCAGGAGCAGGGAGACAGACAGCCAGGACTCCTGGGTTCGCTTCCCAGAGCAGGGGAGGGAGAAATGATGCTAGGAGCAGCGTGGAAGCAGGCAAGGCCAGGAGTCCGGCCCCCGGTGCCCTCTTCCCATCGGGCTGTTCCCTGGCGGCCATGTGTGGCTGGCTCTTGGAGTACTGCCCGGGTTACCTAAATATTTGTGGAACGCTTGGAGATCCCACAAACAAGTTTCCGGCCTGTCACAGGCAATCAACAGATCAGCCTGAGTCACCCCCCGGTCAAGGTGCAGGCAGCTTTTGGGTCATGCTATCACCTTCCCCGTCCCCAGCACTGTTCAGTGCAGCACGGTTAGCTGCAATAGTTTCTCCCGGGGTCTACAATCAGTGGCCAGGACCCCAGGGTTAGGTGTGCAGGGGCACGTGGGCAAAACCCTGCTCTGCCAGGCCCACTGGGCACCTGTGCTCCAGGGAGATGCCATGGGTTTGGCCTAATTGTAACCCTAACCCTAAAGAAATTCTTCCTTATGTCCAGCCTGAAACAGTCTTGCAGTAGTTTATGACCGTTCGACCTCGTCATCCCTTGGGGAGCTCTGGTGAACTAACGTTCCCCCAGAAACTGGTGGTCACCCCTGATAAACTTATAGGTGGCCACCAGATCACCCCTGAGCCTGCGCTTTTCCAGGCTAAAGAGGCCCATGGCTCTCAGGCTGTCGTTGTAAGGTCTGTTTTCCTGACCTCTGATCATGCGCGTGGCTCTTCTCTGCACTCTCTCAAGCTTCCCCACATCCTTCTTGAATTGTGGAGCTCAAAACTGGATGCAGTACTCCAGCTGCGGCCTCACCAAGGCCGAGTACAGGGGGAGAATGACGTCCTGGGATTTGCTCGAGAAGCATCTATGGATGCAAGCCAGCGTTTTGGTCGCTATCGGAGGTGGTTCAAGCACCTACATTGAACACCTTCAAGAGCAAATTGGATGCTTATCTTGCTGGGATCCTATGACCCCAGCTGACTTCCTGCCCTTTGGGCGGGGGGCTGGACTCAATGATCTTCCAAGGTCCCTTCCAGCCCTAATGTCTATGAAATCTATGAAATCTATGAAACCCTGCACATCCAACCCCAGGGTCCTAGCCACCAGTCGCAGCCTCTGGGAAAAACTATTGCAGCTACCCATTCGGGACTGAACAGTGCTGGGGAGAGGGAAGGAGATACTGTGACCCAGGAGCTCAGGGACCCATGGGGCTGGGGGTCTCGTGGCTGTGGGTCCTTGAACTCCTTGAACACCTGCTCCTGGTCTCCATCAAGTTGGGGCAGTGCTAACAGACCCTGGGGCCCAACTCCAACCTGCAGCCTGGTGACAGCCCACAGCTGCTTCCCACCCTTCCTGGACTGCCCCCGGACATGACTACCCAGGTGTGGCAGGCAGAGCCACAGGTACCGAGGTGGGAAGCTCATGACAAACGCTGGGAACATGCATGCCCCGCCTGGCTTGTAAAAGAAACAGGCCTAGTGTGGTGATGACACCTGCCAGTCGCAGGAGTAATAAGCCCTGTGATTCAGGGCGGGAGCTGTTTGCCCATGGGGGGGCAGGCAGGGATTCCTGCCCTGTCCTGACACCACCACGTGTGGCTGGGGCTGGCTGGGCTGGGGGCAGGTCCAGGTGCCTCGACACTGGGATTACAACCCCCCACATTGAGCAGCCAGACAAGAAAAATGGAGAGTTTGTCCCAGTGATAATCCCAGGGTCTTTGTCAGGGGGCTCAGCTAGTAAATGGCATCTGACCTATGACACCCATGCACCGGTGAATGACTGTCATCTAATTCCCGGTCTCATCTCTCTGGCATTTCAAAGGGAGGACAGGAGGGTGCAATTAACTGGGGTAATTGGGCTTAGTCGCCTAACTGCACAGGAGCCTGGTTGGGAGCTAGGAAGGAGATGGGTAGTTCGCGGTGTCAATTTGAAGTCAGGTAGAAGGCAGGGAAGATTTGTATCTTATAGACCAACCAGAGTAGATACACACACATACACACAAATATATATAGAGAGATTATCTATCTATCTATTTATATATCACAAGCTTTTGTGAGCTGAAGCTCACTTCATCAGCTGCTGCAATGGTAGCTAGGAGCAGCTAGTGGCCATCTGTACTTGCGGTATCAAGGCTGCAATACAGATGTTTGGTAGGCAAGTGGGTCTGGCAGGGTCCTCTCAAGGTCACATCAGGTGCTTGTATATGTTTGTGACTTTATCTAGATCAATATATTTGAATTTTTTTGTGTTCTGCAATGTATCACAATGATTCCATGCAGTCCAGCCCCCTGCTCGAGGCAGGATCAGCCCTGACTCTACCCACCCGGCTGTCCTGCTCTTGCAAGTTTCCCAGGATGGAGACTCCACCACGGCCTGTTCCGATGCCTGAGCACCCTCATGGTCAGAAAGCTCCTCCTTGCCTCCAACTTACATTTCCCCCACTGCAGCTCCAGGCCACTGGTCCTAGTCCCATCCCCTATGCCCATGGGGACGAACCCGTCTCTGTCCTCTCTGCAATGGCCCTTCAGGGATTTGAAGGCTGCGATCAATCCCACTTGGCCTTCTCTTCTCCAGATTAAATAACCACATCCTTTCTTGCCTCCCAAGCCCCTAATTATTCCTGTTGCCCTGCACTGGACTCTCTCCAAACTGCCCAGGTTCTTCTTGCGGTGTGGGGCCCAAAACTGAATACAGGTCTCCATGTGAAGCCTCCCCCATGCTGAACCGAGAGGGGGAATGAATCTCTTCCATTGATATGCAAGCGACACTCCTATTAATACAACCCAGGTCCAAAGTCTGCAGGCCTGGACCCTGGTTTCCCTTGGCCTGGGCCTCCCCAGTCCCACAGGGTAACGTGGAAGTGGGTTGAGCTGTGATCAGCTCTATGGGAAGCAGCGGAGTGGCCCGGTCTCTGGTGTCTGTAAGGAAGTCAGAGTCTGGCCCAAAGTCCTGCATCTCTGCCCTTCGTCTACCCAGGGCAGAGGAGCACCTGGCCTCTGGCTCTGGCTTCCTGAGCTGGACTCCATGTTTCCTGTTGACTCCAACATGAGCCAAGGCCATTTCCTTTCTCCACTGGCCGTGGCGGGGGCCGTGGCGGATGGCGGTGCTGGGAGGGGCGGCAGGATGCGTCTCCCAGCCACTCCCCCCATTAATTTGGGGCTGCCCGGGGAGACCCCCAGAGCGGGGATGGGGACAGATGTCCTGGGGCACTCATGGGGAAGCGGGCAGCCAAGGGGGCCGCGTGTTGCAACGGGTTGGCCTGGTGTTCCCATCGAGCTGCCGGTGGCAGGCACGCCCCAAAAGTGTTGGCGTGGGCCCAGCAGGGCCGTGACTCTTTAAAAGCCAGGAGACCTCGTGATTCAGACGCAAGGTGCAGGCAAGTAGGAGTCGCCTCTGCTGCCAAGCCAGGAGGAGCCAGCGTGGGACAGACAGACAGACGGAGAACACCACCGCACCGACGAGGTAGGGGCCCATGCAGCTCGAGGAGTCACCAGCTTCCCCAGCCCCTTCGCCCGTGGACCCCGGGGCTCCGGATTTGCACGGGACAGGTCGAACCCAGCAGCCAGACGCCGGGTCCTGAGCACCCAGACGTGTCAGCACAGGCCTCGTCGCAGCGCTGCTGGGCGGTCTGCTCCTCCCAGGGGAGCAGGTGGTTGGCAGGGGAAGGAGCAGCTTGGGGACGGACAGGAGAGGGGCTCACCTGGGCGCCCCGGTGCTGAGTGGCCAGGACCAGCCGTTGAGAAGCGGGAGCTGGGCAGGATGCAGGCCAGCGCAGGGGTGCAGGGTGGGGCCAAAGCGGGCCGGGGCTGGCGGCCGGGAACCGGTCTGCCTTCCCCCGGGGAGCGGAGCGACGAGCCCCGTCTTGCTGCATTTCACGCCCACACCAGGGAATTCGCACGGGCGGTGCGCCTTCGCTAGCCCCCGCCCGATCGGGCCCAGGTGCATCTCCCCTGCATGCACGGGTGCTCCCTGGCACAGGGGGCCCCACTGCAGGCTGGGCTCTGCTGGAAGGGATGGGGAAGGGCCAGACAGCAGTTGCACGATGCTTTGGGGTCTCCCCCAACCACTGCCCGAGTTGCTTTGCCACCGCTCGTGGCCCCCTGGGCCTGCTGGCCTGTGCTGGCGGAGGGGTCTGCTAATGGCAGCCTGAGGCAACCCCCCGGTTCCCCCAGAGCCACATCCCTGCATCTCACTGGGCAAAAGTAGCGGGGTGCCCAGATGTGCAGGGGAGCAGCAGCTGGGGACCGGAGCAGAGGAGGTGTCTGGAGATCCTCTCCGGTGGGGTTGGGGTCTGGGGGCACTGAGACAAGATGTGGGCAGGGCCTGGGCAGGCCCCAGTGGCAGCAGGGACTGGTGCTGCCTGCAGCAGGGGTCATGGACCCGAGTGCTACAAGGCCCATCCTGCTCTGGTCCCCCCTGTGTGAATCGGGCGCTTCCACGGAGAGGTCACGGGGCAGTGCTGGATCTGGCCCAGTGGCTAAATCAGCCACCCTCTGTGGCACCAAGCAGACCCCCTGCCTGCAGCCGAGTGGGCAGGAAGAGCAGAGCCAAGCAGACACTGCCCCTGTCCTTTGCATCCTGTTTCACCCAGAGACGCCTGGCTGGCCGCTGGTGCCTGCCTCTGGCACCTCCTGGGGTGGGAGCTCCGGGGCACCGGATATTGTGGGGAGCTTGGGCCTTTCCCCCAAAAGGCAGGGCTGGTGGGGCCTGGAGAGAGGGGCTCCCCTTGCATTCATGTACGGCCACGTCGGCTTCTACTTGGACCCCCCGGAGGGAGCTGGGGGTACGAGTCCAGCCCCAGCGGCACCAGGGAGCAGTGCCCTGACCCTGTGCTGAGGTGCTCGCTGGGTCCTGGCCACGTCTCCATCTTTGCTGGCATCACTGGGGCCAGGCCCGTGACATCCGGTGCCCAGTTGCCCCTTCTGTTCTGCCCTGGGGGCACCACCAGAAGTGCCTGAGTGTGCAGCTGGGGTGTCACAACGCTGCATGGTCAGGTAATTGCACCCTGGATGCATTTCCGCCTCCCATGTCCTGTGCGCTGCGGGGGAGCCGCTGTGTTCCCTCCCCATGAATGCTGGGAATGGGGAACTGCTCCAGGGCGTAGCCTTACCCCGTGGGATAATGACTGTTCCTGTCAGCACCCCGTGGGTGTCAGGACGAGGTGGAACACAGTGGAGAGCTGCTGGGGGTGGGGGTCCTGGCATGGCAGCACTGAAGGGGGCTCCTAGCAGAGCCTGGCATGATCCTGGGACTCCTGGAGCTGGGGATGCATGTCGAGCATCCTGTCTCCAGGCCTGTAACGACCCCATTGCACCCAGGGCCAGTCCTACTCAGTAAGGGAGCTGATCTGTATTGGGCAGCAGCACTGGTGGCTGCAGGCAGGTCTGTATGGATGGAATACGGGCCTGGATCTGAGCTGACCCCAACCACTGCTCTAGCAACAGGCCTGTGCACTCTCTAGCCCATGGTGAGCACACATGCCTTTGCACACGTGTGTGAGCATGACTGGTACAGTCCCTATGATGTCCTCTGGGTTCTGCTGCACCATCAGGACAGCACCCGCCAGCCCCAGCACCCACCTGGGCAGGCTGGGACGTTCATGACAAGACCTCTTGCCCCCTCAGGGCCGGGATGGCGAGCGTGCAGCAGCAGCACACGGACCTGGAGTGCGCTGTGGAGATGCTGGTGAAGAACTTTGAGAAGTACGCGGGTGGCGGGGGCTGCTGCTGCCGGAAGCAGCCGCGCCGCATCAGCAAGAAGGACTTCCGCAAGATGCTCACCCGTGAGCTCAACCACATGCTGACGGTGAGGCTGGGCAGGAGGACCACTGTGTGCATGCGAGGACACTTGTGGCAATGCATGTGCATGTGTGTGTGACTGCAAGGGCGTGAGAAGCAGGTAGTGCTGTGCTGGCTGGGGGTGGGGGAGACTTGAAGCCTCCCTGGGTTGGGGATGTGGGTCTTGGTTTGGTCCCACCAGGTGGCACTGGACCCCGAACCCTGCCATGTTCTGGGTCCTGTGCGAACGGCTCTGCCCTGTCTCTCCAGGACACCGGGAACAAGCGTGCGGCCGACAAGCTGATTTGCGACTTGGACGAGAACAAGGATGGGCGCATCAGCTTCGAGGAGTACTGGACCCTGATTGGGGGCATCGCCAGCCCCATTGCCGGCCTCATCCGTCAGCAGGAACAAAGCATCAAGTTCTCCAAGTAGTGGCTCCCCAGAAGGCACCCCACAGCCCAGACCCCCCAGAGTCTCTGATCTTGTCCCCTTGGGCCATATGTGACCCCTTCCCAAGCCCCTCAGGTGCTGCCCTCCCATCCTCCCCTGGTGCCACCAGCCCCACGGGTCCTACAGGGCCTGTGGGTCATGCGTGCTTGTCCCTTGCAACCTGGGATGGCTGGTGCGCAGGCCGGATTGAGCCGTCCCTGCAATAAAGGATGGAGGGCCAGCATGTCTGTGCTCCTTGCGACACACGAGGGTCTTGCTGGGGGCGTGAAGCTGGGGTGTGGGAAGCTTTTCCAGTGCAGACTCCTCTGGGGTGGAGGGTTGCAAGAAGGGTTTGGAATGGCACTGAAGGGCAGTTTGGTTTTTCTCCAGCAGAGGGCAGGGCTCACACACATGTACACGCATGTGCACGCTGGGGAGGCACAGGCCAGGCCCTGCCGTGGTGGAGTCCTGCCACATGGTGTCAGCAAACACCAGGGTGGGGGACTTGGGTCCCTGCATCCCATCCCACACTCCTGCCTGGGGCTGGCTCAGCCCCTTGGCACCCCCAGCCCAGAGCCATGGGGGGTCCCATTCAGCACCCATGGGGCTAATGGACGGGGGTCCACATGGCCCTGTTTCCTGCCTCTCTCTGCTCAACAAACCCCAGTGCACTTCTACCCCCTGGACAGCACCGTGGACCCCTCTTGTGCAGCTGGGGAAACTGAGGCACGGTGCAGGGAAGTGACTGCTTTCAGGGAGCCGGTGGTAGAGTACCTGCAGCTGCTCTGAGGCAGAGACCCTAAGGGTCCTGCAGCTGGGCTTGTCCCTGGAGAAAGTGTGTGCAGGAGGGCGCGTGCACATGCATGGATATGCCCCCAGCCCCCATGTGGGAGTGCGGGGAGAGCAGGGGGCTGCCCGCTGGAATGGAGGGGTTGAGGGGTGGTCGAGGGGCATCAACAGAGCTGGGCTGGCAGCAGGCTGCAAACTGGGGCAGAGCACTGGTGCATGCTTGAGTGCATGTGTGAATGTGAGGACATGCATGTGAAGGCATGTGCATTTGTATGGATTTCATAGACATTAGGGCTGGAAGGGACCTTGGAGGATCATCGGGTCCAGCCCCCCGCTCCAGGGGCAGGAAGTCAGCTGGGGTCATAGGATCCCAGCAAGATAAGCATCCAGACGTTTCTTAAGAGAATCCAGAGTAGATGCTTGCACCACCTCTGGAGGGAGTCTATTCCAGGAGATGTGCAAATGCACGTGTGCATAAGTGTGCATGTGAGGATGTGTGTGGATGCATGTGCATACGTGCAAATGTGTGTGCATGCATGTGACGGCATGTGAATGTGTATGAATGCGCGTGTGCACACGTGTGCATGTGAGGACATGCATGGGAATGCACATGTGTATGAATGCGTGTGTGTATATGTGTGCATACATACATATGTGTGTGAATGCACATGCATGTGTATAAATGTGTACATGTGAGGGCCTGTGTGTATGCATGTGTATATGTATAAATGCATGTGAGCATGCATGTGCCAGTGAGGACATGCGTGTGAATGGGTATGCATGCAAGGACATGTGTGTAAATGCATGTGTATGTGTGTGAATGCATGTGCACACCCCAAGAGAAGTCCCTTCTCCTTCCCTGGCATGGCTCCCATGTTCACAGCTCCATTCTTCCAGTGCGTGGCGCGCGGCAGCCCCTCTGGCCCCCCCGCCCCGCCACACACACGCACACACACACACACACACACACACACACACACCCCTCCACCACCCTGCACACAAACACAGTCCACC